GAACCAAAATAATCTTCATAATATACTGTTTTTGAGAGAAAATTATAAACTTTTTGATCAATAAGTTGGTTAATTTTCTTAATTTTTATATTAATTGATTTTTATTATGTTTTAATTGAATTTCTCAATAAGAATAAATAATTCATTAGCTGGCTACGTAGAATTTTTACCATATTCATCAGCAGTTATTTTATTTATTTTTGGATACAAATTTCTGATTGGCCAATTTAAATTTCACGCACAACGTTTAGTAAAACCCCGATTTTTAGTGAATTCATACAAAGTATAATATTTGTCTACTAAAATTATTAGATAAAAAATTTATTCAAGTTCTTAGTCGGCTTAGCCGGTTAAGGTTTTTCTACCGGCTAACATCACTAGTAAATATGTAAATAATTTTAAAATTTACAAAATAATTGATTTATTTTAATTACAATCACGTCGATTTCGGCGCTTTCGTCAAATTCTTTAAAGTGTAGTAACCCTACTTTGGCACCCAAGTTTCAATTTAACAATTTAACTGCATCATAGGCATTGCTGACTGGTACACTAGGTGTGCTTTACATTAGTTCATTTAATTAATTGCATCCAATTCAAACAATTCATTAAAAAGTGAGGAATTTGCCAATCCAAATGTATTGTAAATTGACCATGTATTAATTAATATTATTAATGTTAATAATACTATTATCATTGCCAATGCATAACTATGCTACCACTTAAATTTTCAGTGTTAATTACTTTCACATATCCATCAATTAGGAATCTTGATTTGCACCTACACTGACTTTTGAACATGCTGTATAGATTTGTAAGACTGGAGTCGACAAGTGTCTACATATTGTAGGGATGAGATGGGAAAGGTTTGATAAATCAAATTCCAGAAGAGTATTCACCTATAAAATATAATCTTTTTATCTAATACTGTTGTTGTATGAGAAAAAAATCGAACTTTATCTAGCTGGAATAAAACAGTTGGTTGTCGAAGGAAATAAATAATGTCAATAATAATAATAAAGAACTTAACTGACAATTCAATAGAAAGTTTGGGGATGAGATAAATATAAATTTTGAGTAAATTTCAAGTATCAGAAGAACCACTATCAAACTTATTTCCTAATTTCAAACCGTTGCTATATTCCTGTTGCTCTTTTAAAAAAAAAGCTCTTTAATAATCGAATTACACTATGGACCATTTCCTTATTATTGGTAGCAGTCTCCTAATTACGGGAAAGCATTTCCTATCCATGTTGGACTAAGAATAACAACCCATTTGAATGGACATGATGTTTACGTTAAAATAGTACATGAAAATAGAGAAAGCCTTCATCTTTTTGTTATATTTGTGAAACTGGACCATCTGTAATAAACACAAAATGGTAAATATTATTATTATCATATTAAAATTATATATTAATTTGCTTTTATTTTTTTGTTTCAAAGAAAAAAGGATCTAGAGTTAAAATAGAATATTATTATTGTTTTATTTTGTTATTGGCATATTAAGGATTTAGGTTTAAACGATTGATCTGATGGTGAGCAAATCTTGTTACGTGACAGAAAACATTATTATATTATTATTCAAAAAAAAAAAAAAGGATCTAGGGTTGAATGAGGTGAACAACCTTGTCACGCGACAAAACAGAAACGTTATATTGTATTGTTTTATTATCATGTTACGTAATCAAGGAAAATAAATAAATAGTATATATATAAAATAAATAATTTCAAAATAGCTAAATACACAATGAATGCAAATTATATGATGGTGAAGAAAATTTGGAATTAGATCAATCTAAAGGTTGATTATTTATAATAGTAAAATTTTTTCTTGCTTTGGGTTGCGACCAATTGGAGGGATAAGTTGGAGAAGGGCCAAAAACTTGCTAAAAGTTATATTTCAGTAACAATAAATCCAAACCAAAAATGACACCTAAAAACTATGTAGAACATTGTGAGCTTGAAGAAGAATAACTCCCAAAGACTTCTATCGTCGCTAATTGGATAACTAGAACTTACGCAAACTGGAAAAAAAATAAGAAACATTTAATTTACTATTTTAAATTATTTTTTATCCAATAAAATGATTCGAAATTTTGACTAAAAATAAAAAAATTCACTTTATAATGGGATAAAGCACATGATAATATCATAGGTTGCTGAATTTGGTATTTAAATTTAATTATTATTATAATTTTCGAGTTGATTGAATACCCAATAAATGAATGCATAAATTTAACTAGAAGCATCGTACAAAAACAAACAATACAATAAAATTAATACTAGAATAAAATATTTTTTTTATTTTAAATATTTAAAATAAATTAATTTCCCAAGGAATAATAATAAACTTTTGACCAAAATCACCACCCTTCTCTTTTATTTTCATCCTCCAACCTCTATTTCATTCCTTTTTTTCATTACTAAAAAAAATTTTTAACAATAATATGACAAAAACTAAACATATAAATAGTTATGACTGGCTTATAGAAGATTTTCAAGAATTCTACAATTATAAAAATTGTCAATCGTATTATAGTGAAAAATTTTGTTCAACTGGACCACTTTATTCAGAAGACGGAAATGTATTAAAAGATAATCATGAGTTTATTTGGCGGCTAAAATTATTACCTAGACATATAGATAGTTATATCTCCTTGTATATTTGGCCTATTCAAAGTGAACATGAACAAGAGTATAAGTTAGAAACAAGGGTTATGAAGTTTAAGCTAGAAATTTTTAGAATACACAATAATAATGGCAATAATAGTAATAATAATTACTTGTTGGCTCTAGATGAGAAGAATTTGGAAAAGTTGGATTGTTATGGATATTTATCAGAGAAAAAATTTATATTTAATTCAGATAGACCATGTCAAGGCGTACCCGAGTTTTGTAAAATTAGTCAAATATTCCCTGATAAAGATTACAAGAAAAAAACTAATTTATTGATTCGTATCCAATTCACATATCCTTCTTTTAATCAAATCAATGCGAATACTAGTGAGGACGAAGAGTCAAACAAACAACTAGCGATTATTGAAAACCCAATTTGTTTTGATTTGGAAGAATATATTAATAATGAGAAATTTAGTGATGTAACTTTTGAATTTGGATGTGGCAATCAATTGAAAGCAAGCAAAATAATATTATCAATAAGATCAGACTATTTTAAGAAAATGTTTAACGGAGAATGGAGTGAATCCAATTCAAATGTTATCAAGATGGATGAAAATATATCATCTGAATGTTTCAAAGAAATTTTATATTTCTTGTATACCAATAGAATTCAAGATAATTTATCATTTAATGTTTTAAAAGATATTTATTCAGAAGCAGATATGAGAGATTTGGAGGAATTAAAAGATTTGACTGCAAAAAAATTTATTAAAATGATTGATAAAAATAATTGGAGTGAGATTTTGTTGTTGGGATGGAATACTAATAATTCAGATTTAAATAATACTGCATTGAAATATATTAATAAGAATTGGTCTAGTGTTAGGGATAGCGAGCAAATGAAAAGTATATTAAGTTGTGTTGATGTTGATTTGACCGAATCATTATTTTGTGCTAGATTCTTTGGTAAATTTCTTTGAAAAAAAAAATTTCATTCCTTTTTTTTGGTTCGATTATTTACTATTACTTTTTTTTTATTATTAATATTAATATAACTTTAACCAACTTTAGTATAATAGATAGAACTTATAGATAGATGTATAAATATAAAACATTATATATATAGTAATTTATATTATTTATTATTATTATTATTATAAACATTATTGAACATTTAAAAATAGAATTCATATATATATATATAATATAAATATATATTTTATGATCAGTCACGTGTTGCATCAGGGTAATTAATATCAAAAAAGTATTATTATTTACATTTACACTTTCTTTTCCAATGGATGATTTGTACAATAACATTAGTGAATATAAAATCTATATATTGTATAACCATTTACAAACAGTCAGTCAATTATTTTTTTATTTATATAGTAAACAAATAAATGTGTCCCGTAATTTTCTATTATTAATATTAAAAATTAAACGATCTGCGAATTAATATTAATATGGTTTATTTATTATATAAATCATTTGATACTTAATTAGTAACTTGATAATGTTTTATAATTGCATACAATCTGCATAAAAAATATTGAACGAGAGATCAACAATCAAAAACATTAATATTGAGAATTTCGTGGAATCAGATGCTAAAGAGTTTTTACGAAAGAACATTTCTGAACCTCGGAAAAAGTAGATCAATTAACATATCTGACGTCTTTAAATGGGGTATGCTGTAACAAAACCAGACAAAGTGAACATTGGTGTTACCAAGAATTTCAAGGTTCAAAATTTAGTTATCATCATTGTACTTAAAGAGACTTGCTGTGAATGATTGAGCTGGTAATTACCATTGCCGCAAATAACCGATTACAACATGTGTCTTTAATTGTATTACTAATATAACGTGTTCTTTATGTTGATAGTGGAAATTTGGAATGTTACACTAATTTTTATATATTGTGCAACGTAACTTTATAATACACGGCAAACATTCCGGCAATGAAAAGTGATAAACTGGATTTGAATCGTATCGGAACTTGATCTCCAACTTAGAGAGGTAACAACTATAACATTTCGTGCAACAACAAATTTCCATTATGCTTATGTTGATGGACTTTTCATTTATGCAAACCAATTCATTTTTTATTAATTGAATGACCCTTATTAAAATATAATAGAGTGATAACTTCTTTATCTGAAGTAGCACTATTGATATTATTACCACCAAAGATTTATCAAAATTACAACAAGTGATGAAATGAAAAAAATCATTCTAGTTTCATTTGTTTCTTCCCTTCTTAAAAAATAATGTCACCATTTCTTTGTCAATTTGGACTTTAACGCTTTCATCTGTTTTTATTCTTTTCAAAAGAAATGGTACATAAATAATCAAAATTTTTTTGAATATTAATTGTATAAATAAATCTTACTTTTCTGGAAATGTCAGTACAATTTCGAAAAAATCTCCATTAACTGTAACAGTGATGTCATCATCTTCAACATCAATTTTCAATTGACCCTTAATTTCTTTTGCTATCATTTGGTGATATAGGACAACGAAAACGAAGTCACTTTGTAACATAAATAAATAAATAATGAAAATCTGTTGGGGATGTTAAAGAGAAATAGAATAGTGCAACAATACCCGTTATTGATCATTGTGAAAGGAACTTCACTCTAAGAATAAAAAAATTTTGTTGTAATTTTTATTTATTAACAATTAAATGATTAAAAATTAATAACTTGCATTTTTGTCATTGTTACTACTACTATCATCAATAATGCTGCCGCTACTACCTAGATAATTATCATCATCATTAGATAAATGAACATTATAATTGTTGTAAATGTTACCAATGGCATTGTCACCAAATTCGGATACGATGTTATCAACAGCTTTGTCACCACCAGATTCGGATATGTTGTTTCTGATGACATTGGCATCAGGTAAATTATTATAGTTATTGTGAATAATATCATTGTCATTAGATAATCATTATTATCTTCGATATCATTGATATTAGAGAAGCTTTGTTGATCTTCATTATCAACATTGTTAATGTCATTGATATCATCATAATCGTCAAATAAGTTTGTTTTATTCTTAGAAAACTTGAAAATGTAACGTTGATTTTTTGGTCCAATAATGGCATCTCTATTTTCATCATTAACATTTATATAATTAATGAGTATATTTTTTTCGTTGTAATCTCGAAAATGAATATGACCCCATCTAGAATCCGAAAATTTTATGGATAATTTGTTTTCTCCCTTACAGCAGTTGTGTTTTCCTATATCACATGTATTTTCTACATCGAATCTAAATTCGCGTCAATTTAAATTGGCATATGTGAAAGTTGGATTTGGGCTAGGATGAAGACAAATGGCAATAACCTCATTCTTTTTAAATAAATAACACTTACCCATTTCTTCCATTTGGATCAACAAATTCTTGGTTTCTTTTTAATTTTTAAAAAAAAAATTCAAAACGCGTTGGCACTTGGTGTTGTACAAATATTTTTTTTGGGGGACAGACGCGAATTGATTGATTTTTTTTTTCTTTTGGAAAAACAATTTACGTCCAAGATGACAAAACGTGGTTCTAATAATAACAATAAAAATTTATTTTTATAGTCACGTTACACGATTCGAAAGTCCAGTATTCTGGGCCAATAAAATTTGCTCTCTTTTTTTGTTTTTTGAAGAATTTTAAAAGAAAATTTTATTCAAAAACGCTTTCAATAACTAATATACATGTATAGAATAGCACAGAAGTTATTTGAATGCATCTCATGTAGCTTCGCCTTTAAGACAATTATTGATTTTGGAAAAGTCAAATTTTTGATCCCCGGATTTTGTATTAATATATCACGTGATTCCCCCTACCCTTAAAAAACAATGTGTCAGAAAAAGTTCTAAAAATGACAACTGTATTTCCTTTTTATCATGGAATTATCTCAAGTTGATTTATCCAAGATATATGGTGGGTTATAATTGCATTGTTTTTCACCAAGAAAAAATAACAAAATCATGTCTTCTATTCATAGGGGAGAAATTCAAGTCCGTTCAACTAACAAAGCAAGAAATGAAAATAATAATCCATTCACAAGATCCAAGATTGGAAGGAAAGGAGATATGATGGGTGTTCTATCAAGAACATCACAAAAACCACAAAAAGCTGAAATCCTGTTTGGTGAGGTATCTGGTGGACTCATTTCTTTTGGCCTACCCAGTGCTACTACATAGTAAGAAAAGATTCTTAGATAAAATAAAATTATCAGTTATGTTAAAAGACTCAATAAATAGCCTATTAAAAGGGTGGGATTATATTAATGCAGAAGAAAGAAAATCAATAATTTTATATGGTTGGACACTACATGGTATGTTATATCCTGAAACCACCTTATATGTGGCTTTTATCATCAGATAAGCTTATTCCTTTTTCCTATAACAGGTTTGAGCTAAATATCTACACAATGAGCTGGAATGATGATGGCATATATTTGTTTGGATTAGTCAACAAGGAAATCATACCATCATCAGAAGATTGTGCAGGAATGTTTGAGGATCTTTATTGTGTTTTTAAAGAATTAGAGGTATGTAACTACTATTATTCACTATTATAGCATTCAATTACAATTAAATGGTTTTTTTTTATGCAGTATAAATTAAAAAAACAGAAGTAGTTATCAACAACCTAAATTTAAAAAATACTAAAAATAAACATAGACAACTAGCAGAAAAAACTTCTCCAAAATTAAATATCAATAGAACACCAAATTAATAAAATCTGGATAATTTTTTATAACATAAGCTCTATTAATCAAAATATGTTAAAGAAAATAATTAGATAATTAAAACTAATGCATGGTTTATTTTCTGTGCTATGATGTCAAAAAAAGAATTAAAAAAATTATTTCTGATTTTAATAATTGCAGATCCTTACTTTACTACTATTGCTATGTTGAAGGTTAGTCACTTGTTATTGGCGATTGCTAATTAGGCCACAGAAATTAATATTTTTGGTTCAGATTTTAAAATTGATGCAGGATGAGCATAGTGGACACTGTTGCAGATCACAAAAAAATGATCAACATAACATATGTTATGGTGAAAGTTCTTGCAAAAGTTTGATTATAAAAGTGTGAGATAATTTTGATCTTGCTGATGATCTGGACTCAGAGAGGCTACAGCTATATTCTAGTGAAGTTTCAGAAGCAATGGGCTCTGTGTAACCGCCTGACTATTATACAAATGACTGTTGCACAAAATGAGTGTCCATTATGCTTGCGGGATGTGGGTTTTAATAACAAGTTTACAAATAAAAGAATGCAATGCAAGCTCTTGAACATGCAGTACACTTTTTCTCAAGTCAAGGAACATCAAAAGTAATATGCTGCTTTTTTTTAATCATTTAAAGACAAAAAATTCAAAATAAAAAAAATAATTGCATATTTTCCCACAAAAAACATGATGGTATTCTGTTGAATTTCTTCAATTAGATTTGACTCATTGACATTGAATATTTTGTATTGGAAATCCCATATTCACCACCATCTAGTCTAGTTGTGACTATATCAGTTAAAGTGTTAGAGCCACTGACAATTTTAACAAACATAACCATGGTCAATACAGCAGACATTGTTTATACTATGAGAAAATACGAATGAAAGATAAGATTTTGGAAACAAAATCAATGGATTATTTTGTACAAGAATCAATGTGTGTAATGTTCGTTTTTAATATGGATTGTATTATTTTTGCATGAACATTAATTGATATTATTGTATTTCACTTTTTAAGGAAAAAGAAATGTGAAATTTTGAAGATATTGTTTTACCATTTATTTTTAAATATCAATAATTTTAATTCAAGAAAAATAAGAGATAGTAGTGTTGAAAATATGAAATTTGAGCAAAAAATTGATTTTATATATGTTGTTTGTGACTGTTAATTTTTTTTATTTGATATCCTCAGATCAATTAGATGGATCTTTTCAAAAGCACCATTTAAATTGTCAAAAAAATTTTTTTTAAGACTTTTTCAAAGTACAAGGAAGAATCTTTATTTTACAAATTGACATTAATGAATAATTTTCTTAGCAATCAAATTCATCAAAAAAATCACCAAGGCTTTTTTGGAAACATAAAAAACAAAAAAACAATCCACAATTGATCTTTTTATTTCCATTGTAAATAATTTTTTTGAAAATCAATTGTTTTAAATAAAGCCACATATGTTCTATGATTAAATCAGTACTTTATTTATATTATTTTTGATTGGTACTATCTAATATAATAGAGTTGTCAGGTCGCCTTTTCTTATTTTGACTATTGATTATACATGCAGCCCAAATTGTTTTGCTGATGTCAAAAGTTGAAATTAATTGTGACACTCACTATTAAAAAATATGTGTAACATCCTTTTATGACATGTGTAACACCCTTTATGTCAGTGTCATAATAGTTCACCCAAATTTAATTCTATTCCATCCACTTCATTTGTCATCACAGAATTTTAAATAATTAAAAAAACCTACAAAGTGAACATAAAATTATATATAGGGATAAGTGTATATATGAAAAGTAATAATAAATATAATGGTTCTAATGAATATCAAAAAGCAATTGACCTTTTAGAAAAAAGTTGTAAATGTGGTTGCTTTTCAAGAATTCCCAAAGAGCAATTTGCAGAATTAAGGGAATCCTTTCAAGCTCTTTCTAAATCAGAACAAGACATATTTCTAATGGCCCAACTTAAAGCAATGGATAGAGGGACAGTAAGCACCAGCAGATGCCTCAAAAGAAAACTAGATCTAATAAAAGAACTTTTTACCATTGGAATCACAATATATTACTTTGTCAAGAAACTTATCTCAATATGTTGGGAATTGGTAGGACTTATTTTAAAAATATCAGAAATCATTTGATAAACAATGGTGTTCTGCCAAGAATTCATAGTAATATTAAAAGAATGCCTCAATGGAAAACCAAAATGGTAATTGATAAAAATGTTGCTGAAGTAGTAAAGAATTTTCTGGAAAATTATGCAGAAGTTCATGGATTACCAAGTCCAGGAAGAAGTAACAATAGAATAACTCAATCAATTGTATTCTTACCAGCTGAAATGAGTTATAAATCAGTCCACAGGGATTTTCTAGCTGGTCTGGAAGAAGATAGTAATTTGAAATCATTGAAGTATGATGCTTTCAGAAAATTATGGCATCAATTGACACCAGAGATTCAAATTATGAGTCCCAGGACTTATTTGTGTGATGCTTGTCAACATTTTAGAGATGGTTTACATTATAATACTCACCAAGAGGAAGAAGCTAAAAATTTGCTCAAAAGATTTAAAGAACATCTATCCAAGGCTAAACTAGAAAGAAATTATTATCATAAAAACACTAAATTAGCAGAAGAACAAAGAAAATTAATTAATCAAAATTATTCAAAGGGTAAAATACCATATTGCAGTATTGATGCCACTGCTCATTATAGTTATGATTGAGCCCAAAATGTTCATGTACCTCATTCTGATCAACAAGTAAGTAAAATCTATTACCTTAGTCCATGTAAGTTCATTTATTTGGTATTTAAGATAAAGCAGTAAGTGAACAAATTAATTATGTTCTTAATGAAAATAAAATCATAGGAAAAGGTCCTAATGGCACTCTTAGTATTGTGAGATTGTAAACCGTGGACCAACCAATTGACCGTTAATATTGACCAATTATAACGAACTTACTACGGAAGTCATGTGATGCGCTGAATATTACATCACGATTAACAATCATCTTTCTATATTTATTGCAACGGTTGCACGTCATGTTACACATGTAGATCATTACATCATTTCTATTTTTAACTTATTTTATGACATAATTATTTACTTCGAATTATTAATCAAATTATTTGTAATAATGAGTCATAGAATTAGTAATTAGTAATTAGTAATTAGTATATAAGCTAGTATTACAGAAAATAGGATTAATAAGCATATTTTATTGAACAAAATATTGTAAAAGATTTAACTTACAAAAAAATTTGGAAATTTTTTGATGTAAAAAAAACTTTAATAACTTTACCAAAAACGGTCTGATCCGCATCAAATAAAATTCAAAACAAAGCCTTTCTTTATTAGATTTAGT